CCGCCTTGAGCGGGTTGGGGAAGGAGACCAGCGCATCCGGCTCGACGCCGTACCACGAGCAAAACTCGTACACCTCGTCGGCGTCGTTCCAACCGTGGATACCGATCGCCTCGCCGATCTCGTACTTGAGCCCGGTACCAGCGGTTTCGAGCTCGAGGTGGAAAACGTTGCGGTCGTAAGTGGCAGGGGTGAGGCGCCGGTTCTCGGTAACGGTGACGAGGAAGGTCTCGTCGGGGGTGGAGGGGCGAAGTGCGGAGACGTCGGCGTCGGCGGCGTACGCCTCGCGGAAGAGCAGGTGCCTCGCGGCGAGGTCGGATGCACCGAGCTGGGGCTGGGTGTCCTCGTCGAGGTGGATGGAGACGCCGAGGATCGCGTCCCACTCCCACGCGGACTTGAGCTTCTCCACCTTGCCCTCCTCGAGCTCGGGGACGGTCCACGTGGAGGGATCCGCCTCGATGAGACCCGCCTGGGCGTCCTCAATCTCGTCGCGGCCCAGGTTGTTCGAGTAGAACGCGTCGAGCACGCGGCGGACGCCAGCGCCGAGCTTGGCAGTGCCGGTGTAGAGCAGCATGAACGCGACGGTCTCGCGGATCGGGTTGAGAGGAGACGGGCTCAGATCCAGGAGGAACACGCGGATGTTGCGCGACTTGATCGACGCGATCTCGGAGCGAGTGAGCTTCACCGGGAGCTCCTCCTCGGTCCAGGGGAGGTTCAGCACGAGGATACCCCCGTCGACGAGGGAGCCAAGGACGTCGGTGGACTTGAGCACGTTGGCGTCGGACACCCACGCGACGTCGCTGCGATGGTTCGGAGTGAGCGGGGCGGCGTCGCCTTGGGCCAGAGCCAGGACCGATTTGACACCGCGGGTCGAAACCGAGCCAAACTGAGCGAGACGCGTGTTGATGCTCGGCGAGGAGAGGAAGATGTGCGCGAGGAGCTCGGGAAGAGGCGACTGGGCGGTGTAGAACGAGACGGTCTTGCCAGAGTGAGTCGCCTGTGCGGCGTCGAGGAGGACCGACTTGACGGTGGGGAGAACCGCGTGGGACGAGGTGGGAGCAGAGTAGATCGTGGACAGGATCACCGCCTTGAGCGCGTCCGCATCGGTCTTGGTGCCGCCGACGACGGAGACGGTCTTGCCGGCGAGAGCAGCGGCGAGGGCCTCGGGTTGCGGAGTGAGCGTGTTGAGTCGGAGGACCGCGCCGGAGACCCGGGCGTGGCCAGAGGGAACCACGGAGACGTCCTTGTCGTCGCTGTTGTCGTCGCTGCTGAGAGTGAACCCGATGTCACCCGCCTCGACGGAGGGGAAGGTGTACTTTGCAACCTCGCGACCGGCAAAAGTCGACTCGACGACGTGGACAACCTTGCCCTCGCCCGCATACAGCTTTGCCGCGTTGGGCACGATCTCATCAGCCGACGAGAAAACCACCTCCCAGTCGTCGGGCAGGGACGTGAGCGACTTGATCACGCCGGGGGCGAAGAGCGAGTCGACCAGCTCGAGCGATTCCGAAGCGGCGGTCGTGGCGAGGTGGACAACGACGTCGCCTCGGATCGAAGCCAGGTCGAGGCGGGTGGAAGTGGTGGCAAAGACGGAGACCTTGCCGGCGGACTTGGCGGCGTACCCGGCGAGCTCAAGCCCGGCGCCCTCCCTCGCCTGCACGGGGAACACGCTGCTCTCGTCCCAACTCGCCAACCTGCGTCCGAATCCCAGCTCGACCGCGTCGTCGTACACAAACGTGCTCTTGGAATGCTTCACGGCGAACGCCTCCAGCACGTCGATCGCGGAGCCGTAGACCGTCGCGCCGGGCTTGGTGGAGGGAACCGGAGCGGACGAAGCGAGGAGGGTACCAAAGTAGTCCCCTGGATCTGCTCGATCGGAGGGAGCGCGGCGTCGACCACCGCCTTGGCTCTGGGCGACGACACGATCGGCGACGCCGCACCCGAACCCTTGCCATCGTACTCGGAGACAGCGGTGGAAGTGGTCGAGTAAGGAGTCTGAGTGCCATCGAGAACGAGAGAGTTGTCCAGGTTCGCCGCGGCGATCTGGGATTTTTTCGCTGGGACACCCGGAGGAGAGGTGGTGGAGGAGGTGAGGGCGATGGGGGACATGGCGAAGGAGTGTGGGGGAGGGAGAGTCGGAGGGGAAAGAGCGGAAGAGCCTCGTTGCGAGGGGTGGTTTTGAAGGAAAGAGAGGTGTGTGAAGGATCGATCTGAGTAATGGATGCTGTGGGGTCCGTAGAGTGGAAAAAACGATCACGCCATCGGGCGCCACATTCGTCGTCGCCACCCAAATGTCAATGTCACCATCTCACCACGAATTGGACCGGCCCGGTTCCGAATGGAAAACGATCGTCAGGCACGGCCATCACGCCACGGTTCAGTTACATTTGGGAGCGGAGCAGAAAAAGTGAACAACTATGAAATGTGTGCATGCGTTCAAAGCCTCAAAGCCGATACCATTGGCCTCCCTCCCGCTACTCTTTTGATGTGCACGATATGTATCGTTGACGGACGTGCCTTCCTGTGCCGCGCCCATGCGACAAGCCAGCTGCGCGCCGCTACGGCTCAATAACGTTTGTCGGGTCGTAAATTTTCCCGCGCAGAACGGCGTTGTACCGCGAATCCCGTCTCGCCCTGCACCAATGGTCAGTGGTCACGGCTCGTTCCAAGTGAACGAATAGGTATAGAGAGAGTGTACCGGTTTTACGACTAACAACGCAGCTGCGCGGTTATCCGTAAACAAGCCACCCGGCTGTGGACGATAGAGTTGAGGAGTAGTACGGCGATAGATAATAGATATGACTGTAGAAGACTTAGATGAGCCCCGAGTCCAGCCTTGCTCTTCCACTGCATCAAGACGGAATCCGACGACCATCGACCTGGAGTCGAACGGGGAATGAGAGGAGGAAATCTATGGTAAGAGCAGTAAGTGAGGTTTTCAGCGAAATGAAAAGTGGACAGGCCTTTGTGCTCGCCTGGCAAAATGAGTGCATTTATCAAGAAGAGCTGAGATACCTCTAGCTGAGCGAGATTTCTTGCTAGATTTCCCCCTCCCCCTTCAGAGCGCCGAGACGCGGATTCCAACCCCCAACTCTCCCAACGAACCCCTCACCTCGTTCCTCTCAGCTGAGCTGCTCTTCAAGAAATTCCCCGAGATCTTGTACAAATAGGGCAGGTTGGCACTGCGCAGGCGTCGGTGTATGCTCACACACATACAGCGGTGATCTGAGGAGCGCACGGTAGTGCAAGCACAACGGCCTCGGGGAGGACACAAGACAGCCCAGAGGGCAATGCGACAACCTAACGTGATCCGCAGCGTGTTTGATAAAAGGCAGGCCATCGAGTGTCACGTGTGACATGATACTGCACACCACAGGTCGCTGCGACAGTACGATAATATGCGGTTATGTGTAAGTGAGGTATCCGGGACGAGCACACACAGTGGTCGCTGAGATGGATACCGCGCAAGGCAAACTACGGGGATAGCTCCAGCATGGGGTTGCTCTGCAGAAACATTAAAGTGGTGGGCAACGGCACTCAAAGGTCGATTTTTCCATACTTCCCGCAGTCACTCGCACTTGTGTGGCAGGGTGAACCGACTCTCTTTGCGGACGGTCAGCAGGTGAAGGAAATGTTTTGCAACCACGCGCATCCACCTCTCAGATGAGGATCCCGAACCGCCCAAGTCGAGTTTCACTGTGCAACGACTGGCTCACCCTCCCAGAGGACAATGGATTGACGCGAGGGTATGCGCGAGGGTCCGCCAGCGTCCATCGCTGCTTGCCCGCCTGATGGCCTAACACCCGATCGCTTACATACTCGTGACTCGCTTGAGTGGCAGCTGTGTACACCCCTAGTCGTAGGATGCTGGCTTGAGTAGTAGCCTGTCCGCGAGGTGGGTTTTGTCGGGACAGCGTGATCTAGAATCAGGTACTGTAGCGAGTCTGCACTGCTTTGGAATGCTCCGGGTCGTGTGCAGCGGCGGGAACCGCCGCGCCACACCGCCACACTCAGAAACTACCAGGCGCGTCAACGGAAGCAATTAATTAAACTGCCACTACCTGTTCGTGGCACTCTTTTTCGTGGCACCTTCGTGACATCTTCGCAACATCGTTTCCAAGCCTCGTCTTACCTTGGTTACACTCTCTCCCTTTGTTTGCACTACTTAGATTGAAGGGTTTGTGGTTAAAACATCGGCCTCCTTAGCTCAGCGGTAGAGCGCGACACTAGAGCAGGCAATGGATCTTGGCGCCTGGTACTCTGTCCTGCGTTGGACCCAGTCCGCTCGGAGCCACTGCTGACTTCAGGAACGTACGCGCACTGCAGAGGACTCCCAGCATATGCGTCAAAGATGCAGCTCATGAGAGCGACACGTTTGCAATGTTCGGTGACATGACACATCCGTACCTTCGTGGACGCAGAGATGGTGGGCTTCAACGCTGTGTGGCGCCACCACCAAAAGTGTCTCGAGCAGGGAGTATCGAAAAAGAAACCATCAGGGAGTACCACCTGCTCGCCTACCCCTGCAGGTAATGCGAAACCTCGGAACTTGTTCAGGGTACAGCGTAGTCTGAGTATCAACTGACAGCGCTAGACCAAGGATATGTTGAGGAGATCGGGTAGGACAAAGTATCAGCAACCAGCCTAGGAACCACAACGACCGACGACCGACAAAAAAGTTTGCACATTGGACGCCGAGGGATGTCTCGAGCTGCACCCTATCATACTGCAGCCCATGGGAAGTTCAAGCTGGATCGTCCGTATTCGACCCGTTTCGACGATTGAGTCGGTCAGGCGGAGTGATTCACATGACCCAATGCAGGGCCACTTCCCTCCGCAGGGACTGCATCCTGTTCACGGGGGATTTCGCTTCGCGATGATTCGCCAATCGACCCATCGAAGGCTTGAGACTCGCTTATGGGGTCCCTGGTAGCCCAGCACACCAGCCGAGGAAGAAAAAGAGATCCACGAGACACGACAAGCGTCCCTCTGCCTTGCCTCTCTGCCCTCGGGCCGACTCGAACGACCAACCTTTTGCTGGCCTCCTCCTCACGTCAGAAGATACTAGGCAAACGCGCTGCCATTACGCTACGAGGGCAGCTTCCAAGGGCTGCAAACGGGCGTCTGATACAGTAGAAGCCCTGACAGCCGTCCTCGCGTTGGATGTGTTGACAGCGGAGAGGGTGTCACGCAGTCTCGGCAGATATGAGAATCATTCCGCACAGATGACAACTGTATATGTACACTGTACCTGCAGAGTTCCTGACGGTTCCAGTAGCTTATCCGCGAGATATAGACTGTAGAAGGTATGAGTTGCACGCCGACCTTCTCGCCCTGTACATGTATACCACTGAACACTTCAGAGCTCGTGCAATGTTGGATCGGCTATCAAATACTGTATATACTGCCTTATAGTGGTATTGCAGCGGCGGTAATGTACATACAGTATGTAGTACGGCCGGTACGACTCTTCATAACCTCTTGTCGAATGTATTCGTACATCTGTCGACCATAAGCTAGCTAGCAACCAGCGTTCTCAACCGATACGTAACACATGACGACAAGCCCTGCTACCGCCTGCATGTGCTCGAGCATGCTGCCCGCGCCCAACTCGATCGCATATTGCAGAAGGTCAAGGACGAGAGTATGACGAAAGCAGACATGAGCTCACACTGACGTGGCGGCGCTGATCATACTGCAGCAGATTGTGGACAACGTTCGAAAACCGATTCAGCAACTAGACGTTCTGACCTTCGTAGTTATCGTGTCGACGTTTACCGCCCTAGATGTGAATTAAGTGAGCACTGAATTATCGGACCATCCTGAGTCCACGATGCTGGGGGTGAGATGGTCGTACAGATGCAGTGATCACTCACCCTGTCTGATTGTCCCACAGCATCAAACAGAGATCTGGTATGATACGAGGTCAGTGATGGGAAGGCCATTGACCGCCGCGCCACTCCCCCACACTCAGAAATGATGAGCCGCGACTTTTCGTGGCACTCTTCAGTCCGCAGGTCAGAGGTCCTCCTCTTGACATGCGTATTCCTGGTCAATCGCTACTTGATGCATGATTACAGTCTGCTGTCACATAGAATGAGCCTTCTCGGCAAAGTCCGGTAAGGCACGGCCACGACGCCACTCGGCCGTTGAACAACAGTGTTCACAGTACTGCCGTCCCAGAACAAGTGGTGTGCGTGCGTTCAAGTCTCAAAGCCTATACCTTTGTCCTCCCGGTACTCCGTCTAAACTCCCAATGTGGGTCGCTGCCCAGCGACGTGCGTCCCTGCGCTCAAGCAACGAGCCACCTGCCCACCGCTACGGCTCAAGGTCGTCTGCCGTGTCATAAAAGTCGGGACATCGGCGGCGGTACATTCACAGATCAAAATGAAATTAGCCTAGGCAAGTCTATTCACGCCTCGGTGCCCCCCTCATCCCTGCGCCTCTTCCCCTCCCTGCTGTTCCTCTGCTCGCTCCCGCCCCTCCAATTGACGTTCCCGCTCCATACACCCCGATATACCCGGGACCCCAGTTCACCTTCGCGTACTCCAATCCAGCTCTCCTCCGCTCATGGTGCCACTCCATCACAGCGTGCCTTCGCTCCAGCGCCAAACGCACTTCACGCGGTTCTTCTTCCGCCATCCAGTTTGGGGGGAACGTCGAAGGGAGCATACCGCTCGATCGCAGAGCGTCCAGCGGTATCGTGAGGAGGTGCTTCTGCGCAGGCGTTGCCGGAGCAGTGGCCCAGGCGAACCCCTTGTTCTTGAGGAAGGCAACCGTATCCTCTTGGATGCTTCGTCCGACCAACTGGTCGAAGTCCACTTCGAATCCGTAGGGGACATGAGCCGAGTTGCACACAGACAGATCCCTGCCATCGTCGACGTCGTCGAAGAAATGGTATGTCGGTCCCCGCCAAGCCAGGCCATGCGCCCTACTGATGACCTCCGGGACGTTGATGGGACGGGTGCGCTGGTACTCCAGCTGCGACATCCGTGGCCTGAAAGGCTGGACGTCTGGGTAAGGCGATCCGGTCGTGGGATCGAGGAAAGGCAATAGGGATTGGACAGGCGGTGCGATCGGCAGCGATGGATCCGTTCCAAGAGGGTATTTCTGCTGCATGTTTCGAGCGGCGAAAACGGAATTGATTCCACGGCCAGCGGTGTTCCTCCGGCGACGGGCACCCCCCTGGGCGAGGAACCCCTTCCGACATCAGCATTCGCCCGGACAGCTCATCAAACAAGTCTCACCCAGTTGTTCGGGAAGTAGGTTCGGCGCCTGACTGCGAGTTTCGACATGGTCGGCTGATCGTACTCGTACCCGTTCTGCTCTGATCAGTCGCGGCGCGAGCAGAAGTCCCTGACACTCACGATCATGTACGCCCTCCGGGCTGCCTCGACCTGGACGAATCCCACCAAGATGATTATCAGGTGGCTGTGGTTCACGTCACGCTGGTACATCCAGGTGTGCTGGCGGTGTAAGATTGATCAACGGTGTCATGAACGAGGCAGCTCACAATCTCTCCGCACGGGCGCAGCTGTTCCCAGACCAACTTCTCCAGCTCGAGCCTGCCAGAGACCCTCTCGTCCAACCCAGCTACAGAGACTGCCGCCAGATCCACCGCGAGATACTCCCCGGTCCTCACTGTGCCCTCGGCGCCCACACGCCGCTCCTCCATCAAACCGTGAAGTATCCTGCCGGTGTAGACCTCTGCTGGAACGTCGTCGTCAGCTGAAGGTCGCTTTGGCGGAACAGGGTAGCGGTTCATCTTGGAGAGTGGGGAGACGCGCGTTGAAGGATTAGGAAGGAGGGAGGGAGGACGAGGGACGAATACGGTGTTGAGGAGAAGATGACTGAACGGATGAGAAGTATTCTACCAGTCCCAAAGGACCTCATCTCTGACACAAGCATGTGCGTGTGTTTGGTGTATTGTCTCCTGGTTGCGGGTGCACCGCCTTATCCTTCTCCTCATCACTCTCACCAATACATCCACCTCATTCGACAACTCCACGACTCCATTCCTCTTTCCCGCTCACTTACGCAGCAAGCACAAGCAAGCCATGTCCGCCAACACGTGAGTCTAGGCAACCTTCAACTTCAAACTCCGGCGTCAGCTCAAGGTTTCTCAGCAACGCCCCCCTATCCGCGCCGGCCCCGCTCCCTCGTCTCGTTCCCAAGCGCAGGACCGTCAACCAGGCCCGCTACGAGCAGTTGCAGGTGGGTGACGTGCACACTCATACACCTGGTGCTGTCACAAGTCGCTAACAGCGGGCAGGATGGTCAGCGCAACCCACTCAACGGTGGACAGTTCTCGCCCGAGTACAGCTCGATCAGGTCTGGATTCCGCGGGCTGCCCGCGTCGCAGCATGTGCATCAATTTTTATCTTTGGTACGGAACGGAGGCCTTTCCAGTTGGCGCCCGCCACTTGGGCTGACAACCAGTACTGTGATTCTTCGAAAGACGTAGTCATCGTCCAGGGCGCAACGGGCTCGGGCAAAACCACGCAGTCAGTCGTTGGAAAATCTCCCACTCCTCCAAGTTGCTGATTTCCCAGACTCCCCAAGGCGGCTTTGTTCAACGAGCTGGACCATCCACGCATGGTGGTAGTGACGCAGCCGCGGAAATTACCGACACGAGAGCTCGCCCAGAGGCTGGCCGTAGAGCTTGATGGTGAGCATCCCTTCAGAGTGACTGGCTGATGGGATATTAGTCAATGTCGGGGAGGAGGTCGGCTATAGCTGCAAGGATGAACGGCAGCTCACCATCGGCAGGACCAAGCTCCTATTCGTGAGCGACGGTACGCTTCTAAAGAAGATGGTTACCGACCGCACGCTTCGCGATGTCGCGTGCGTCATCGTCGACGAATGCCATGAGCGGTCCGTCGACTCGGACATCGTCTTGGCGCTGCTGCAAAAGGTGCGCATGAAGTGCAAGCGGGCATAGATTGACACCTTTAGTTGCGCAAGGAGAGCACCCGAGCGGACTTGAAGATTGTCTGCATGTCGGCGACTGGCGACATGCACAAGCTGAAGAGCCACTTCGAGGTTGATGACCGTTCGGTGGTCTCACTTCCCGGTCACACTTTCCCCGTTCAGATCTACCACAGCAACGGGCCCGTCTCGGACTACATCGCAGCCGCCCGAGATCGAGTGGCCAACCATGTGCTCCACGGCAGCGGCGACGTCCTGGTATTCTTGCCAGGGCAGGACGACTGCATCGATCTCCTCTCCCACCTGCGTGGGCATCTCGCGCCACACCTCGTTCAAGTGTCGCTCCTCCTTCTCTACCGCGACCTCCCGGTCGCCGAACAGTCCATGGTCTTCGAGCCTACTCCCAACTTGCGCAAGATCGTTCTCGCCACCAACATTGCCGAAACTTCCTTGACTTTGGCCGATCTCAAGTTGGTCATAGACACCGGTCTCGCCAAGGTGGCCCAATACGATGCCGCGAACGGGATGGATCGGTTGCTCCTCTCCCCCATCTCAAAGGCATCTGCCACACAGCGGGCGGGTCGGGTGGGCAGGACATCGCCCGGCACGGTCATGCGTCTGTACACTGCTGCCCAATACGCACAGTTCGAGACTCATACCAGACCGGCGATACTGCGCTCCCCATTCACCGAGACCCTGCTGAAGCTAACCGTTCACGGGGTGCGATCCATGGCGGAGGTGTCGCTACCAGGTGAGTCAATCGTGCCTTGCCTCTGCTGACAGCACAGACAACCCGACCGGGCCGCAACTTGCGAACGCCTCGGAAGAGCTTCGTGCGCTATGCCTCCGTGACGGTCAGGGCTCTCTCACAGCGCTGGGACGGCAGGTCAGGGGGATGCCCGTTGATCCGAAGGTGAGTTTGAATCGAAGTCGCCATTGACTGGTTAGCTCGCTCGCATGCTGGTCCTCAGCCCCAAATTCGGCTGCTCGAGCCAGATCCTGTCCCTGGTTGCGGTGCTGGCATGTGAGTGTTCTCTGCGCCGACTTTGAAACTGACTTGGAAGCCCGACCCATTTTTCAATCCGGGACGGACAATTCAACTGCCAAGCGAGCGGCACGCGGGAGTTTCAGATCCGGCTGGTCAGACCATGTGACAGCATTGAGCGCGTTTGAGGCATGGCGCCAGAGTGAGTTGGCAGCTGCGATCGGCGCTGACGGTTAGACCCGCGAGATTACGGCTTTGCAGACGCGCATTTTTTATCTGTGGAGGCATGCAAGGAAGCGGAAAGGCTGAGGAGTCGACTCGAAAATGAGATGCAGTGTGAGTAGACCGTAAGTGGCGCTCCGCTCAATCGTCTCAGCGGTCCAGATCCCTCTCATCCGCGCCGACTTTGACGATCCCTTGTACAACGAGCGTCTTGGCCGAGCGATCGTCGCCGGCCTGTTCTGGAACATCGCTGTCAAAGCAGATGCCTACTCCTGGCAGGTCAAGCGGAGTCCAGGCCAGGTGAGTTCAACACGCTAGCCCGTCTCTCACCGCGGTACAGGTCTGCACACTGGATCGCAACTCCTTGGTCTCCGGCGATACTGGCATGGTCGTGTTCTCCGAGGTGAGTCCCACGTCCGCGGCGAAGCGCTGACCGCCAGATGGCCCTGTCTCAGAACGATCCCAGGGCGGTCAGTTGTCCTGTGGCAGAGAGTGTGACCTATTCTGACCTACCATCTGCAGGTCCTGCGCATGGTCACCGACATTCACCCGGACTGGTGAGTCCACCTATACTGCAGAGCATCGTGCGATGCTCACGCCAGGTAAGGCTTTCGTCGAGATATGGTACATTCGCGGGAGGGGCGTCCTCATAAGTGGTGGTTTTATGTGCAGCGGTGGCGTGTTCGACGAGTGGCAGTTGAGTGAATGTATGCGACCCGCGATGCCACCATCTGTCATGTTCCCGGGCTGCGTGAAGCGACGACGTTCAGCTCTCGTCTTGGACTGGTGTGGGCACTGGGAGTGATGCGATCCACTGGCATGCTTTGGAGTATCGTACGACAACATGACGAGGAAAAGGAGCCTATGAAACCGAATAGTGTAGTCTATATCCAAATGAAGTGCGAGCATTAAAATCCAAAAGTATCCAGACCATAAAATCCAAAAGTATCTATCGCCTCGACTTCGCCCGTGCCTTGGCGGACTTCTTCGTCTCCTTTTCGAGCTTGCGCCGCTTGGCCGCGCGCAGCTCGGCGTCTGCCTGAGACGCTTTGGCCGCCGTGCGCCGCATGCCGTCGAGGGAGAAGAAGCCCCCGGATCCCGAACCGCTATTCACATCCTGCAGAATACTCAGCATCCATCGATTCTCGCCACACCTGTGAGACGTACCTGAGACCGAAGCGGCTGCCGCACGTCAGCTGGAGACAAGGCAATTGTGAGTGCCACCTACTGTTCCACCGCTTGTGCCCCCCATGCTCCTCGAAGCGGAGCCTCCATCATCCGACCTCCCCACGCCAGGCGCAGGCACAACTACTGTCTCATCCACATTCATCTGCAAGATTCTCACCAACTGGCCAATCCCTTCCAATCTACACATCTCAGATCTCACCTCGTCCCCCCATTCCCCTGTACCCACTCTCCCCTCCGAACCCCTCTTACCCCCCGATGCTGGCACCGATTCTATCTCCTGTACCCATCAGCGAGCCACCGCGTTACCACGGCGCTACCCACATCCACCAAGTCATCTTCGATGACGAGATCGCCTCCCCTCTCCCCCGCACCGGACGAACACTCCATCTGACCACATTAGCGTCTGCCCACCGATAGGACTTGAAATCGCGTACATTGACATCGGCGATGACGCCGCTCTGCCCAGGTTCAGCACGTCTTGCCCTCGATTCCGAGACAATCCAGGTACGCACCGGAACCGATCTCTCCCCGCTCCCTTCCTCGCACTTGGAGTCGCACAGGCTCTGTTTCGTTGGCGCAATCCCGCCATTCATCCTTACTAGGGCTACCATGGCCGAGGCCCACTCCTGCAGGGCATCAGATCGAAGAGCAACCGATTTTCATGAGCCTCACATCTAGCAGGACGGCATAGCCGTCGGAGCTCATCATCCGGTCGGCGTCGAAACCCTGGCCCGCCGCTCGTCCGAGACCCCTCAGCTTGCGAAAGAGGTGAAACTATTCGAATCAGCACCACCAGTCACCACCAACGTATTCAGATGATTTGGGCACGGGCGACATGAACGTTTCCCAGGCGTTCAAGTTATTCCGCACTCGCTCATGCGCCCCCAGGCTTGCTAAATGGTCACATGCAGGGGCCTGCCGGGCCGATACACGAGGGAGTGAACGACGCGGATCATTTGCTCGACTGGACTTCAAGCGGGATGGCGAGAAACGGCACGAGCGGGTGGAGAGAGCGGGAAGCAGTGGGAGCGGAGCAGAAGCTCCAGTGGGTCAGGCCTGAGGGAGCACACCTGAACACGGAAACGCAGCGCCGGTGCAGCGGGGCGGACAAAGAATGCGAGGTGGACCCCGGAGCGGAAGATAGAGAGGGATGAACAGAATGCAGCGGCACACGCCAGGAGGAGAAGCGGATGTAGTAGAGGCACCAAGAAGGGCGAGGGAACGGAAGAACCAGAGAACTGGGAGAAGAGCAAAACCGCGAGTGAGTCAGGCCAGAGAGAGTACACCCGGACACAGAAAGGCAGTACCAGTGCAGTGAAATGGACCGAGAGTGGGCGGTGGACCCAGAGCTGGGAGATGGAAGACACCGGCAGACGCCTGGATATGGAGCAGGGGCAGGAGTGGAGACACCGTGAAGGGCCAGGCAACGGAAGTTCCAGCGCTCCTGGGTGGGAGCGATTCCCTCCAACCCGGTTGCTCGGTCAGTCGAGCCGAGGGACCCCCACCAATCGCCAACAGAGCCACTGCTCACAGATAAGATGTGGCTGCTGGCGATGTTCCACGCCCGAGACCAAGATGGGATCGACAGAAGGAGACAAGGAGGGCGCACACAGGGAGCATCGAAGACACGCGTCACGGTCCCGCGCTGAAGTGAAAGCCATAGGTGGGACGACACGCGCAGAAAGAATCAAGACAAGGATTCGAAGAGGTGGACAAGAAGGATGACCGAGTCGGGGTGGAGGAAGGAACAGGAACTCACAGCAGTCTGCTCGGCACTCATGTTGTCGAGGTTCGTTGGTATGCAGCAGTCTAATGGCGAGGAGTGAAGAGCTAACGGGGACGTGGATGGACGGGCAAGTGGGTCGTGGACGTGTCGGTGCCGGGAGCAGATCATTCTCATGGGGGTGACAACACCGGCAAACAGAAGTCAGTCGCCCAGCCGGTACTGACGTAAGCGGATTTGGGGACAGTGGCGGAGTGGCGCTCGGTAGCATGGAGAGGGTGCATGATGGTGTGGAAGCCTGCGGACGTGAGCTCAGCAGCAAAAGTTTGGTCGTCAAAATCGGACAAAAACGCAGAGACGTCCTTGAGTGTGAACCACTCACCACGGTACAACTCGAATCCGCTCCGGTCCCTGCGTACAGCGTCCACCACAGCTCTCCAAGTCTGCGTGTCTCTTGCCGCCATCCGCCCCATCCATCCATCCATCCATCCATCCATCCATCCATCCGACCGATTCATCACCCACCAGCCAGCCGTCGTTCGCCATTCAACACCATCACTCCCCGCCTGAGAACCGCACTAGGTGCACCCGCCGCCGCGTACTCCAATCCAAACACCTCGCGACCCTGTTCCAGACGATGAATCCACCCGAACATGTCCGTCCACCACGCGCCATCGGGCTCATCGATCAGGACGAGCTGCAAGAGATGGCCAACGTCGGCGGGAGACGCGTCTGACGATGGCGAGTCGAAGGGTAAACATCGTGATGCCTCGTCGAACAGGCTAGTGTGGCGGAGTGGTGCCGGGGGCCGGGAACCGGACAGGAAGTGGAGAGACGCAGCGAGAACCCAACATCGCCGTTCAGATATCAAGTAGAAGGTGGATGTACAGATGACAAATCGTTAGAGTTGTTTGGGGACCGTCGTCAAGGGAGCAACGCACACGCGCGCTTTTTGTTTCGAACTTGCTGCCCCGTTTCGGGCAGGCGGCGGCAACTCGGGGAAGCGGTCGTAAGGGGAAGAAAAGCACACGCGCGCTTTTTTTGACTTGATGCCGCGTTCGGGCAGGGCCGGCCCCGGAGTCGCCTTCCCAAGCCTTGTTTACTCCTATTGTTTGATCCCGCCATGTGGTTTTCTGCAATATCTCAGCTCTCTCTCTCCGTCTCTCGAGCCTGTCTACACAGCCTTGGCGCCTGACCGAAAAATGTGCGCATGAATCCCAGGTCCCGCCAGGCCCCAAATCGGAGTGCCCGGGGAGTGGTTGTGGCACGTCCGCGCGCTTCCCAAGCTGAACGCAACAAAAAGAGCAACAAGCAAAAGATAATGCCTCTTAGCCGGTTCGAACGACTGACTTCGTCATCACCGTCTCTCTGATCATTTCTGACCGGAAACTACTAGTGACGTACTCTACCAACTGAGTTAAAGAGGCTACTTGGCTGTTGCTCATGTTTGTGACGACTGACTTTTCTATATATATTGCGTCAAATACATTTGTTGCCCGGAATGCGACGCTGGTGCGAAGAATGCCGCCACAAACGGATACCATTGATTGATTGCTCCCGTCGACGCGATCAATGGGCGGTGTGCAGCGGCGGTCTCCGCCACTGCGATTTACCGCCTTTGGAGATCTAGGGCAGCAGTTTAAGCAAACTGGTTCCGCTCTTCGGGGGGGTGTTACACAGTCATATCACTTGATTGGTGCTTCGGATCGCACGACTGACCTCGACATCGTATTACAACAGATCTCAAATCTGATTGATGATTATGGGACTATCGGACTGGGAGTTTGACCACATGATCCATACGACCATTTTCCTGCGTCCACGATGCGGTTCCGGCGACGCGTGCCAATCCCGTCGCGGTCGGGGCGCGCGCGACCGGCGGCGCCTGCATCAGAAGTCATGCTGGGCTTCCGGGAACCTCTCGAGAGCGGACAGCATGATGGAAGCATCCATTTCCACCTAGGCCATGTCCCTGGGAAACCCCCAAAACCACACGCACCCAGCTCCTGGCATCCTGCTCATGCTCCGGATTGAATTGATGCATGCATGCATGACTGCAACCAGAAGACGGTAGCGACACATTGCATCACAATTGCTCGTCCGAGAAACCTATTGCTGTAAGTGATATCCGGGAGGCAGTTGCATGGGCAAGAAGCGCTAACCAACCAGTTTATGTACTATGCACAGAGTACAGCTCTTTCCCGTGCGGTGCACGGTGTCCCAATCCCCGTGCGGTGCACGATGTCCCAATCCCCGTGCGGTGCACGGTGTGCCAATCCCCGTGCGGTGCACGGTGTGCCAATCCCCGTGCGCCTTCTAACACTCCCCCTCGAGGTCTGCGTCCTCGCCGTCGAGGACCAGACCGAGACTGGCTCGAAGCGAGCGATGGGGCGCAGGAAGGAGGGCCTTGGTGAAGATATCCGCCACTTGAGAAGCGGTGGGGACGTATCCAAGCCGAACCACACCGTCCTCAATGAGTTCCCGAATGAGGTGCCACCTTATAGCAATGTGCTTGGTGCGTCGGTGAGTACCTGGGTTCCGTGCAAGTCGTATCGCACCCTGGTTGTCGCACCACAGGGGAGTGGGTTCCTTGGGGGTTACACCCAGCTCGTCCAAGAGTCCCTTGAGCCACACCGCTTCACGAGCAGCTTCTGACACCGCCACATACTCAGCCTCAACTGTCGACGAGGCCACCGTAGCTTGTCTGCGGGATGTCCACACGATTGCAGAGCCGCCGAGCATGAAGATGTGCCCAGTGGTTGACCTTCGAGTGTCGTGACAGCCTCCCCAGTCTGCATCCACCCAACCCTCTAGCTCTGCTTTTGCCGTCTTGCCGCCTAAGGTGAGGCGCATGTTGCGGGTGCTTCCGAGGTGATCGATTACCTCGAGAGCAACCTTGAGGTGACCGGCGGTGGGGGCACTGGTGTACCGAGCGAGCCAGGATGCGGCAAATGCGAGGTCGGGGCGAGTGCAGGTGGCGATCCACTGCAGGGATCCCACGATCTCTTGATAGCGTACCTTGTCCGCTCCCCCTGCTCCTCCTGCTTCCTTTTCTTCCTTGGCCGCCGCCAGGTACTCTGGTCCCAGCCTTTTGAGGATCGCGAGAGGTGTTGATCTCTTCTTGCCCGACGGGGTGAAGCGCTCGAGTAGCTTATCCACATACGCAGGCTGCGAGAGGGTGACAGTGCGAGAGGGGCGGTCCCGATCCACACGCATGCCGAGGATCATACGCACCTCGCCCATTTCCGTCATCTTCCAGCGATCCTTGAGGGTAGCCATGATGTGGTCGATCGTCTTGCTCGCGGTCGCTGCGATGAGGATGTCGTCCACATAAGCCAGGAGAAAGGCCTCGCCATAGTCACTGGTCGCCGTTCTGTAGTAGAGACCCCAGTCCGATTCGAGCTTCTTGAACCCAACACCCGCAAGGGCGGTGCCGAGTTCGATCCACCAAGCCCGTCCGGACTGCTTGAGGCCATACAGCGACTTGACGAGTCGCAGGCCTGTGGCGTGGTCGTTCTTGGGCTTGTAGCCCTCAGGGAAGGCCATGTAGATCTCTTCCTCCAACGTACCGTTGAGATATGCACCCTCGACATCGGCCTGTCGCAATTCCAAATCCCTTTGGGCTGCGAGGGTGAGTAGGATGCGCAGGGATGTTGTGCGACCGACGGGGGCGTAGGTCTGCTCGAAGTCGACACCGGGGACTTGACTATACCCTTTGGCGACGATGCGAGCCTTCCATCTCACCACCTGACCCTTCTCGTCCCTCTTTCTCTTAAAGACCCAACGGACACCAATGGGTGTGCGGTTCTCGGGAACCACTACCTCTCTCCAGGTGCCCTTACTCTCGATGTTGGCGATCTCGCTTGCCATGGCTTCGAGCCACTGCTTTGCCTCGCCAGTGCGCTTGGCTTCGTGCGGGTTGGCGGGCTCGTCATCGAGGTTGGTCATTACCAATGCCATAGCTGCAGAAGACGCTAGATGGTGCTCTTCCGCTTCGGGACCTTGCCAGTTGAGCCAATTCGCCTCGCCACTATTGCCAGTGCGTCCGCTGCGCGTGCGGGTCGGCAGAATCTCGACCTCAATGGCATTGCGCTGCGTCTCCGGCGTGCGCACCTCGTAGGTCCAGCCGTGTCGAATGCGAGGAGGGGCCGATGTTGCCGTCGGTTGGGTTGCAATATCTTGGCTTGGGGGCGGCCGATGGACGTTGGCTTCGGAGGGGACGTACTCTTGGGTCCCATCTTGCTCGTCGCCGTTTCCCTCGTCCCCCTCGTCCCCAACGGAGCCGTTGTCAAGGTCGCTGTCATTGGTGTCGAAGGAGGTGCTTGGTAGACGTACGGTGTCCGTCTGCGGTGTCGACACGGGAATAGCGCCCATGTGGCGCCATCCTCCCGTAATGCCACTGTCGCCGGCGCTCGTTGTCGTCTTACTCACCTCCTTGGTCTCAATCACCTTGCCATCCTCGAGCTCCACTATCCAACCAACTCTATCCCAACGCTGGCCCAGGAGCGTCCCCCCGACGCCGCGAGCGTTGGTGAGAGACCCTTTGGTTCGCACCGCTCGCGGGATCGCGACCGGGATGCTCTGGCCGAAGACACGGCTTGTCGGGAGGGTCGGTTCACGTCCAGTGAGTCTCTCCCATGCCGTCTTCCCTTGCACCTTTGTCGTCTTCATGATGATGCACGCCGCATGCCGAGCCGCATGCGTCCAGTACTCGTGAGGTAAGGCTGACCCTTTCAGCATCGCCGTGATCATCTCCTTCGCCGTGCGCATAAAGCGCTCGACTACACCATTGAGCTCAGGTGTGTATGGCGGCGACACCTGGTGCTGTATTCCGGTCTCCCGGTACCAAGCTTGGGCTTCCAGGCTGCCAAACTCGCCACCGCCGTCGCTGCGCACAAACCGCACAGCCCGAGGGGCAGCCAAACGCGCCATGATCGAGACGAATGCGCGCAAATGCCGGTAGGCCTCAGTCTTCCCGCCCATTGGTACCACCAAGCTGATCTTGCTCCAGTCGTCGACCAAAGCCAGGAAGTGGTCCTCGCCTGCCTTCGCAGGCTGGAATGGACCCGCAATGTCGACATGGACGAGCTCGCCGGCGTATGCTCCCCGGGGACTTGTCCCCGCCTTCGGTTGTTTCGTTGCCTTCGCCTCTGCGCAGGTCGAGCAACCTTCGGCCGATCGCATAACATCAGCCACCTTGAGGCCCGCTTGGGCCGCGGCGTCCTCAAGTTTCTTGCCTCGAATGTGGCCCAGTGCAGCATGAAGCGACTCTGCACCGGTTGTCACAAGCACGCGACCATGGGTTGCCTGATTCGCCGACTTGGCGGTGAGCACCCACAGCCCCTTTCGCTTTTCCAGCGGAACATCGACCTTTCCATTGCTGATCCGACCACCAGAGGGCGCTAGGGATATCGTCCAACCACGAGAGAGCAGGCGGCTAGCCGACAACAGGTTCAGCCTTGCACTGGGTGTGAAGTAGACGTCTTGAAGGCTGAGTCCGTGACCGGATGGCAGACGCAGAGGCACTTCCCCCATCTGCTCGGCAGTGAGAGACCCCTGTCCCGCCAGGGAGAAGCTGAAGGGCTCAGGCAAGTCGGACCTTGAAGCAAAGACCTTTGGGTCACCCGAGAGATGGTGAGTCGCACCACTGTCGATAACCCATTCGCTGTCGAGTCCAGTCGCATCTTGCACGGCCTGGCCAACAAACGCCTCAAATTCCGCTTCTACTGCAGCATTCGCCTGGCCGTCCGTCTTGTCCTTCTTGCTCGAGTCTTCGGCATCGGGGCAGTCGCGTTTGAAGTGACCGGTCTTCTCGCAAGTCCAGCATTTCACCTTCGACATGTCCCTTTGCTTCTTCTCCTTCTTCTCTCCCGTCTTCTTCCCTTTCTGGCCATGGTTCCCTCCATGAGTCGCCAATGCGTCCCCATTCGAGTGGGATCCCTTAGAGGTTTCGTACCTCTCCTTGTCCTCAACCTTGCGGTTCCAGAGCCTTTCGAGCTCAACCCAGGTCTGTCGGTATTCGTCCAGCGCTGCATAGGTGTCCTTCCACTGCTCCATGGCGGCCGGGAGACTGTTGAGGAAGAGAACAATTTGCTGACTCTCTGGTAGGATTCCTCCCGCAGTCTCATACCTCGAGAGAGTGACAAGGAACGACTCCATATGCGTCGTCATCGCCTTCGAATTGGCTGACAAGAGGCGGAAGGAGGCAAGGGTTTGGAGAAGCTGTCCCTGTCGCTCAATGGTACGAACCATGTGAGTGTTCTCCAGGTGGGACCACATCTCATGGGCAGAGAGCATCCCCATGATCGAACGCTTTGGTCCCTCCGTGCAGGTCATGCGAAGCCAAGCCTGGGCTTTGGACTCACGCTTCGACCAGTCCTTCCACTGCTTCACCTCCACGGCTGACAGAGCTTTGGGAGCATCCCCA